TCTCACTCTCATATAGCAGCGAAGGCAACGATCTCCATCGAATTTGCGAAGGCAACGATCTAGCGGCGGCGATCTCTGTCAGCGTTACCACGGTGGTTCTCCGGCGTGGTGAGTTTCTCTATCTCATTCTCTTGTTCTGTGCGTGTTGACAAATTCATCTATTCGATCCTCTTCCTTCTTTTCCACTCTTGTTCTGTGTATTTTTCCATCGTAATTTGCATTATTTTCTTTTTCTTTTCCTTTTCCGTCATTTTCTCAGCTTTCAAACAGCACTATTTTGGTTTCCCCCATTTCTTAGGGAGGTTGGTTAAGAGAGCATATGATGCATTATTGTTGGATGCTGGTGGCACTCTTTTGCAATTGGTGAAACTTGTTGAAGAGACTTACTCATCAATCGGCAGAAAATACGGTTAGCTTCACAGAGTTGTTGCTTTGATTCATGAAAATTTTAACTCAATGTTGTTTAAAGCTATGGATTTAAATCAGTTGTGAATTATGTTGCATTTGGAAATTGTTAGCCTTGACTTCCCATACTCCATCAATTGAACAAAACCCTTTTTAATTCAAATGAATTGTAGAAGTTATTGTTAATGCAAATTAGGGACTCGCTGAAATTGATTAGTTGGAAGTGAAATAGTTAAGCATACACTTTTCTTTTTCTTTTTTTTTGAAAAAATCCTCTTATTTTAATTTTACTAATCCAAAACACAACCTTAATCTTCATACAAAATCCAAGGCAGCCCTTGAAAATGGTAATTAAGTCCTCAGAACATGATTGAAATTAGGGACTCGCTGAAATTGATTAGTTGGAAGTGAAATAGTTAAGCATACACTTTTCTTTTTCTTTTTTTTGAAAAAATCCTCTTATTTTAATTTTACTGATCCAAAACACAACCTTAATCTTCATACAAAATCCAAGGCAGCCCTTGAAAATGGTAATTAAGTCCTCAGAACATGATTGAATGCCAATAAATCCAATGCTATTACTTTAGTTAAGTTGATCTGAGAAAACATACAAGCACTAAATTCTTGTTCACATTTTCAACTTAAAATACTCCTGCAAAAGCATAAAAATACAATTGCACCTGAATAAAAGAATTGGATCATAGCATTGCTCTTTTTTCTAGCACAATTAATCCTTTATACCATTCGATCAATAAAAAAAACATGTTCTAAATTTACTGTAGTATTTTAGACAGCAAGCAATCAATCTATATCTTCATCAACCAAAAAATTATCAAGTAGGTCAAGAACACCACGTGTTCATGTGCTCAACTAATGAAATGTTATATTTTTTTCCACTATCTTCTTATTATTAGGACCATGTATTCATTTAACCCCTTGCTATTGGTTGGGCACATAGCCAACGTGGAATTCCAGAAACGTAGGATAATTACTCATCAACCATTTTTTCCCCATACTATTACTTAATTCTATATGCAAAATCCAATGACTTCTTTCTCATAAAATGGTTCAACACTCAGAGGAATTAAATTATACACAGTACAAATAATATATTTACAACTTACAAGGTGCTTAGGGAAGTTTTAAATATCCCTTCACCACAATAAGTTCTGAAATTAGCTTTAATTAGGCATGAACATGACTAACTTACTACAAGGCTGTCCCCAAGCTCTTTTATATATGATTGAATGAAACCACTGCTGTCATCCATTTGAAGCTTCTCATTTAACAGAGTCTTGTATTGATCATCTCTATCCTATAAGTTACGCATCAGTTCAACCTATACAGAAAAGTTGACATAAAATAAGAGTTAAAGATAAATCCAAACTAGAGAATTGGTATGCACTTAAGCTTTTCAGTATGGAAATAATACAGAAATTTCCTCCATGTGACGATGTTTGTGCTACCATGCTAGGCCAAGCCACCTAATAGATGTATGTATAGTGTACAAAAAACCAAATAGCTAATCTCACACATTCTTTCAATGAAGAAGAAGGGTAGAAATAGAAAACAATAATTTTAAATTCAATAAGGAGAAGAAAACAAGAGGATTTGAGAATAATTTGAGAATGAGAAAATTTGTGACATAAGCGTCTAGAATGTAGATTAGCATTAAGACAAAAGCCAACCTGTAGTGCACCAAGCCAACTTGTAGTTTAGCATCAACACACCTTACAAGCAAGTTCTCCATGAAACGCCCCTGCAACCAAGCAAAAGAAATTAGCTACGCAGGACATTCATTAGTTTTTTTAAAAAATGAATGCTGGCCACCAACCTAGAAATTACATACCGAGTCTGAAGATCGCTTGAAACTGAATGCTGGCCACCAGCAATGGCTATGAAATTCTTGTTGACAATCACTTTTGGGTTGTACTCAAAGATTTGTAAATCAAGCCACAAAATATTCATGACCTAAACAAACTTAGAGTCCTCTATGTACCCTCACCCCCATCCCTGCTTCTTGCAGGTATTGTATAATATAATATGTTATTACAAGCTCCATACAATCAGTAGTCAGAGTAGCTAAATTAGTTATCTGTTTCCATCTTTTGAGCTTAACAGACAGTTTAGTTCCGTTTAGTCATATTGTTAGTAAATTATGGCTTTATGTTCTCCAGGATTTGCAAGCATTGAAAATATCTGAAGCTGGAGCAAACTCTCAAGCTAACTCCCAACTACCTGTTGATGGTTTGTCATAATATCATTAACATTTGAAGACAATCTGAACAGTTGTTGTAACAATAAGGTGTGCTGAGTGAGTTGAATTGAGCTCAGTTTCTATTACCAGTTTGCTGCTGCTGCCACCCCTTTCTTCCTATATTAGTGATAGTAGTAATATCACACATTTAACTTAATGATTTATTTAATGAATTTTAATGCATTTGGAGTTTTAAATAAGCCATTCCAATTGGAAACATAGGCATACTTCTATACTCATGTGCTTGCAGAAGTGTTTTTGCATGTGGATTAGTGTCTAGGAGTTGTAAGTCTATCACATGATAACAGCAATTGGCTTCTGATCTAAATTTTTATTAATAGACTTGCTTCTTGTTTTTCACACAGATGCTATGATCAAGCATCTGGAAGCAACTGTATCTGCTACCAGTTTGGATATGGAGAGCTTAAACTCAAAGATGGAAGAGTTGCATGTTGGTTTGAAATTTAAGGAGGACGGCATTCAACGTTTGAGAATCTCATAAGAGATCTTGGAGAAAGAAAAGAGTGATCTTCTATCTAGCAACAAGAGATTTTCTAGCAAATAGATTCCCCCTAGAAAAAATTTTGATTTCTGGGTTATTTTCGAACCTATTACAGCTATGGAGAAGCCTATGATAAGATTCAACGTCAACCAAGTGAGCAATTACAGCTATGGAGAAGCTGAGGCATTGACTGATGATATTGAAGAAGAGAGTTAGGTTTTTGGGGAGGTCTTGAGCAACAAAAAGATTATTGATAATTGTCAAGATGAGGTTTGTCTTCATAACTTCTACTGAATCTTTCTCTTTTATGTGAATTTAATTTTCATTTTTGTATTTTGTTGCTTTTGAAAGGTTTTTTTTTTTTTTTTGTAAGAACTTTGATAAATGGGAGATTAAGCAGAAATTCCCTGTTATATTCTACATTTTGCTTGCTGGTGCGCACTCAGTTCTTTCATATTTTTTTGTCTCTTTTTTGTTGTTTATATATTCATTTTACAGTTTGTGGGCACCGATTGACTTAGGATCGAATCATTTGTTTCTGACATGTATTGGTTTGTAGGCATTAGAAATTACTGTTTGGTGTGATGGAATGGAATACCAGTAGAAATATTCCCGTGGAAAGCCTGTTTCAACTTTAATGTGTCATGAGCTTCCTGATGCATCAAAAGACCACTAAGGGGCACACATTAAGTTTTGGCCTGACAAAACAAGTTAGTCTCGACTCTCAAAACCCGGCATGCTTTTGATGATTCTATTGATTCAATTTGTAGCAATAATTGTATTTAGGGGTTTTCATAGTCTTTGTCTAACTATGAACTTTTTTGCAGTATTCATTACTGCAATTCAGTTTGATTACAGCACTATAGCTGGACAGATTACGGAGCTGGCATTTTTAATCCCTGAGGTACAGTCATTACCATATGCTTATTGTTCTGTGACATCTTTAAACCTTCTAAGTTGTTATTCTAATTTTTTTTCTTAAACTTCTCATTTATTTTTCAAATGTAGATTTTTTAAAATTTTTAAATTTTTTAATCTGGTAACTTGCTGCATCTTTTGCAATGGAGAAATACCTTCTGTTGATGAAGCAACTTTAGACCATCAAAGATTATTGATTAGCTACACCGGACATTCATTAGTTTTTTAGAAAAATGAATGCTGGCCACCAACCTAGAAATTACTTACCAAGTCTGAGGATCGCTTGAAACTGAATGCTGGCCACTAGCAATGGCTATGAAATTCTTGCTGACAATCACTTTTGGGTTGTACTCAAAGATTTGTAAATCAAGCCACACAATATTCATGATCTAAACAAACTTAGAGTCTTCTATGTACCCTCACCCCCATCCCTGCTTCTTGCACGTATTGTATAATATAATATGTTATTACAAGCTCCATACAATCAGTAGTCAGAGTAGCTAAATTAGTTATCTGTTTCCATCTTTTGAGCTTAACAGACAGTTTAGTTCCGTTTAGTCATTTTGTTAGTAAATTATGGCTTTATGTTCTCCAGGATTTGCAAGCATTGAAAATATCTGAAGCTGGAGCAAACTCTCAAGCTAACTCCCAACTACCTGTTGATGGTTTGTCATAATATCATTAACATTTGAAGACAATCTGAACAGTTGTTGTAACAATAAGGTGTGCTGAGTGAGTTGAATTGAGCTCAGTTTCTATTACCAGTTTGCTGCTGCTGCCACCCCTTTCTTCCTATATTAGTGATAGTAGTAATATCACACATTTAACTTAATGATTTATTTAATGAATTTTAATGCATTTGGAGTTTTAAATAAGCCATTCCAATTGGAAACATAGGCATACTTCTATACTCATGTGCTTGCAGAAGTGTTTTTGCATGTGGATTAGTGTCTAGGAGTTGTAAGTCTATCACATGATAACAGCAATTGGCTTCTGATCTAAATTTTTATTAATAGACTTGCTTCTTGTTTTTCACACAGATGCTATGATCAAGCATCTGGAAGCAACTGTATCTGCTACCAGTTTGGATATGGAGAGCTTAAACTCAAAGATGGAAGAGTTGCATGTTGGTTTGAAATTTAAGGAGGACGGCATTCAACGTTTGAGAATCTCATAAGAGATCTTGGAGAAAGAAAAGAGTGATCTTCTATCTAGCAACAAGAGATTTTCTAGCAAATAGATTCCCCCTAGAAAAAATTTTGATTTCTGGGTTATTTTCGAACCTATTACAGCTATGGAGAAGCCTATGATAAGATTCAACGTCAACCAAGTGAGCAATTACAGCTATGGAGAAGCTGAGGCATTGACTGATGATATTGAAGAAGAGAGTTAGGTTTTTGGGGAGGTCTTGAGCAACAAAAAGATTATTGATAATTGTCAAGATGAGGTTTGTCTTCATAACTTCTACTGAATCTTTCTCTTTTATGTGAATTTAATTTTCATTTTTGTATTTTGTTGCTTTTGAAAGGTTTTTTTTTTTTTTTTGTAAGAACTTTGATAAATGGGAGATTAAGCAGAAATTCCCTGTTATATTCTACATTTTGCTTGCTGGTGCGCACTCAGTTCTTTCATATTTTTTTGTCTCTTTTTTGTTGTTTATATATTCATTTTACAGTTTGTGGGCACCGATTGACTTAGGATCGAATCATTTGTTTCTGACATGTATTGGTTTGTAGGCATTAGAAATTACTGTTTGGTGTGATGGAATGGAATACCAGTAGAAATATTCCCGTGGAAAGCCTGTTTCAACTTTAATGTGTCATGAGCTTCCTGATGCATCAAAAGACCACTAAGGGGCACACATTAAGTTTTGGCCTGACAAAACAAGTTAGTCTCGACTCTCAAAACCCGGCATGCTTTTGATGATTCTATTGATTCAATTTGTAGCAATAATTGTATTTAGGGGTTTTCATAGTCTTTGTCTAACTATGAACTTTTTTGCAGTATTCATTACTGCAATTCAGTTTGATTACAGCACTATAGCTGGACAGATTACGGAGCTGGCATTTTTAATCCCTGAGGTACAGTCATTACCATATGCTTATTGTTCTGTGACATCTTTAAACCTTCTAAGTTGTTATTCTAATTTTTTTTCTTAAACTTCTCATTTATTTTTCAAATGTAGATTTTTTAAAATTTTTAAATTTTTTAATCTGGTAACTTGCTGCATCTTTTGCAATGGAGAAATACCTTCTGTTGATGAAGCAACTTTAGACCATCAAAGATTATTGATTAGCTACACCGGACATTCATTAGTTTTTTAGAAAAATGAATGCTGGCCACCAACCTAGAAATTACTTACCAAGTCTGAGGATCGCTTGAAACTGAATGCTGGCCACTAGCAATGGCTATGAAATTCTTGCTGACAATCACTTTTGGGTTGTACTCAAAGATTTGTAAATCAAGCCACACAATATTCATGATCTAAACAAACTTAGAGTCTTCTATGTACCCTCACCCCCATCCCTGCTTCTTGCACGTATTGTATAATATAATATGTTATTACAAGCTCCATACAATCAGTAGTCAGAGTAGCTAAATTAGTTATCTGTTTCCATCTTTTGAGCTTAACAGACAGTTTAGTTCCGTTTAGTCATTTTGTTAGTAAATTATGGCTTTATGTTCTCCAGGATTTGCAAGCATTGAAAATATCTGAAGCTGGAGCAAACTCTCAAGCTAACTCCCAACTACCTGTTGATGGTTTGTCATAATATCATTAACATTTGAAGACAATCTGAACAGTTGTTGTAACAATAAGGTGTGCTGAGTGAGTTGAATTGAGCTCAGTTTCTATTACCAGTTTGCTGCTGCTGCCACCCCTTTCTTCCTATATTAGTGATAGTAGTAATATCACACATTTAACTTAATGATTTATTTAATGAATTTTAATGCATTTGGAGTTTTAAATAAGCCATTCCAATTGGAAACATAGGCATACTTCTATACTCATGTGCTTGCAGAAGTGTTTTTGCATGTGGATTAGTGTCTAGGAGTTGTAAGTCTATCACATGATAACAGCAATTGGCTTCTGATCTAAATTTTTATTAATAGACTTGCTTCTTGTTTTTCACACAGATGCTATGATCAAGCATCTGGAAGCAACTGTATCTGCTACCAGTTTGGATATGGAGAGCTTAAACTCAAAGATGGAAGAGTTGCATGTTGGTTTGAAATTTAAGGAGGACGGCATTCAACGTTTGAGAATCTCATAAGAGATCTTGGAGAAAGAAAAGAGTGATCTTCTATCTAGCAACAAGAGATTTTCTAGCAAATAGATTCCCCCTAGAAAAAATTTTGATTTCTGGGTTATTTTCGAACCTATTACAGCTATGGAGAAGCCTATGATAAGATTCAACGTCAACCAAGTGAGCAATTACAGCTATGGAGAAGCTGAGGCATTGACTGATGATATTGAAGAAGAGAGTTAGGTTTTTGGGGAGGTCTTGAGCAACAAAAAGATTATTGATAATTGTCAAGATGAGGTTTGTCTTCATAACTTCTACTGAATCTTTCTCTTTTATGTGAATTTAATTTTCATTTTTGTATTTTGTTGCTTTTGAAAGGTTTTTTTTTTTTTTTTGTAAGAACTTTGATAAATGGGAGATTAAGCAGAAATTCCCTGTTATATTCTACATTTTGCTTGCTGGTGCGCACTCAGTTCTTTCATATTTTTTTGTCTCTTTTTTGTTGTTTATATATTCATTTTACAGTTTGTGGGCACCGATTGACTTAGGATCGAATCATTTGTTTCTGACATGTATTGGTTTGTAGGCATTAGAAATTACTGTTTGGTGTGATGGAATGGAATACCAGTAGAAATATTCCCGTGGAAAGCCTGTTTCAACTTTAATGTGTCATGAGCTTCCTGATGCATCAAAAGACCACTAAGGGGCACACATTAAGTTTTGGCCTGACAAAACAAGTTAGTCTCGACTCTCAAAACCCGGCATGCTTTTGATGATTCTATTGATTCAATTTGTAGCAATAATTGTATTTAGGGGTTTTCATAGTCTTTGTCTAACTATGAACTTTTTTGCAGTATTCATTACTGCAATTCAGTTTGATTACAGCACTATAGCTGGACAGATTACGGAGCTGGCATTTTTAATCCCTGAGGTACAGTCATTACCATATGCTTATTGTTCTGTGACATCTTTAAACCTTCTAAGTTGTTATTCTAATTTTTTTTCTTAAACTTCTCATTTATTTTTCAAATGTAGATTTTTTAAAATTTTTAAATTTTTTAATCTGGTAACTTGCTGCATCTTTTGCAATGGAGAAATACCTTCTGTTGATGAAGCAACTTTAGACCATCAAAGATTATTGATTAGCTACACCGGACATTCATTAGTTTTTTAGAAAAATGAATGCTGGCCACCAACCTAGAAATTACTTACCAAGTCTGAGGATCGCTTGAAACTGAATGCTGGCCACTAGCAATGGCTATGAAATTCTTGCTGACAATCACTTTTGGGTTGTACTCAAAGATTTGTAAATCAAGCCACACAATATTCATGATCTAAACAAACTTAGAGTCTTCTATGTACCCTCACCCCCATCCCTGCTTCTTGCACGTATTGTATAATATAATATGTTATTACAAGCTCCATACAATCAGTAGTCAGAGTAGCTAAATTAGTTATCTGTTTCCATCTTTTGAGCTTAACAGACAGTTTAGTTCCGTTTAGTCATTTTGTTAGTAAATTATGGCTTTATGTTCTCCAGGATTTGCAAGCATTGAAAATATCTGAAGCTGGAGCAAACTCTCAAGCTAACTCCCAACTACCTGTTGATGGTTTGTCATAATATCATTAACATTTGAAGACAATCTGAACAGTTGTTGTAACAATAAGGTGTGCTGAGTGAGTTGAATTGAGCTCAGTTTCTATTACCAGTTTGCTGCTGCTGCCACCCCTTTCTTCCTATATTAGTGATAGTAGTAATATCACACATTTAACTTAATGATTTATTTAATGAATTTTAATGCATTTGGAGTTTTAAATAAGCCATTCCAATTGGAAACATAGGCATACTTCTATACTCATGTGCTTGCAGAAGTGTTTTTGCATGTGGATTAGTGTCTAGGAGTTGTAAGTCTATCACATGATAACAGCAATTGGCTTCTGATCTAAATTTTTATTAATAGACTTGCTTCTTGTTTTTCACACAGATGCTATGATCAAGCATCTGGAAGCAACTGTATCTGCTACCAGTTTGGATATGGAGAGCTTAAACTCAAAGATGGAAGAGTTGCATGTTGGTTTGAAATTTAAGGAGGACGGCATTCAACGTTTGAGAATCTCATAAGAGATCTTGGAGAAAGAAAAGAGTGATCTTCTATCTAGCAACAAGAGATTTTCTAGCAAATAGATTCCCCCTAGAAAAAATTTTGATTTCTGGGTTATTTTCGAACCTATTACAGCTATGGAGAAGCCTATGATAAGATTCAACGTCAACCAAGTGAGCAATTACAGCTATGGAGAAGCTGAGGCATTGACTGATGATATTGAAGAAGAGAGTTAGGTTTTTGGGGAGGTCTTGAGCAACAAAAAGATTATTGATAATTGTCAAGATGAGGTTTGTCTTCATAACTTCTACTGAATCTTTCTCTTTTATGTGAATTTAATTTTCATTTTTGTATTTTGTTGCTTTTGAAAGGTTTTTTTTTTTTTTTTGTAAGAACTTTGATAAATGGGAGATTAAGCAGAAATTCCCTGTTATATTCTACATTTTGCTTGCTGGTGCGCACTCAGTTCTTTCATATTTTTTTGTCTCTTTTTTGTTGTTTATATATTCATTTTACAGTTTGTGGGCACCGATTGACTTAGGATCGAATCATTTGTTTCTGACATGTATTGGTTTGTAGGCATTAGAAATTACTGTTTGGTGTGATGGAATGGAATACCAGTAGAAATATTCCCGTGGAAAGCCTGTTTCAACTTTAATGTGTCATGAGCTTCCTGATGCATCAAAAGACCACTAAGGGGCACACATTAAGTTTTGGCCTGACAAAACAAGTTAGTCTCGACTCTCAAAAGAAGTTTTTGGAGAAGTACTTTCCTATTGGTAAGACCAACCAACTTAGGCGAGCCATCACCAATTTTGCTCAAATTGATGGCGAGCAATTTCATGAGACATGAGAAAGACTTCGTGACCTTCTCCAACAGTGTCCCTACCACCAAGTGCCTAATTGGCAACTTGTTTAGACCTTTTACTATGGCTTAATTGAGCTTCACCACTAAATGGTGGATTCTTCTTATGGTGGGACATTCATATCCAAAATGATGGTGAGGCATGGCAACTATTTGAGAACTTAAGTGATAATTCCCTTCACCATGCCACCACAGTTTGGCAAGTCCGACAACCAATAGTTTGAGCCTTGAAAAGAGGGGGCATTTATGAGGTAGGGTAAAACCTAGAGTTAGCCCAACAAGTAGAGGCATTGTCCCACAAGATGGACCAATTATTAGCTTTGGGACATGGCCCTACACAACAAGATTAGCCTCAATTTCACGAGGCATGTGCTATTTGTGCAAGCTCAGCTCATGATTTGAGTGAGTGCCCATCGGCATCACAATTTTTGGAATTAGTCTAAGAGCATGTGAATGTGACTCAAGGATTCTCCAACCCAGGTAATGACTCATATTCCAATACATATAATCCGGGATAGAGAAATCACCCTAATTTTTCATGGAGACCTCCTTCATAAGGCACTTCTTAAAATCCTCCACCACCAAGGCAAAATTTTAATAATTTTGCCAACCAATCTTCCTACCAGCCACCACAACCTTATCAACCCTCATAACCTTACTGGCAACCACAACCCCCGCATGTTCCTCAAGATAACTCGACTTTTGAGACTCAAGTGTTAGAAGTTCTCTCATAACTTAGGGGGTTAGCACCAGTAATTCACTTCAATACTCACTCCATTGGCAAGCTAGAGGCCCAATTAGGTCAAAATGGCTAATAACATGAATATGAGAGAGAAGGGAAAATTACCGAGTCAAACTGTGGCCAACCCTAAGGGTCAATATGGGATAGAGGGGTTGGGTGGGAATGGAAAGCACCATGAACAGGTGCAAACAATGATTACCTTGAGAAGTGGGAGGGAGTTAGAGCCTCAGCCAGTTGCGTCTGATGCAACTAAGGCTAAGAAGGGTGATCACAGTGTTCAACCCAAAGAGAGCAAGGGTGAGGGAGAAACACCTAAGGGGGATAACTTAGCCC